GTTTCTTGAGTCCCATCATTGTCCTCCTGATTTAGGTCGCCAGGGTTGCTCTCCTCATCAGATGAAGGAAACCAATCTTCCTCAATAATTTCATCCAAACTAGCATGAGATCTTGTGGTTGGCCCCTTTCTTTTACTTCCTATGGTACTTCCTCCTATGTTGCTCCCTTCCTCCTCCTCCTCTGGTGCCTTCTCCTCCTCCTCCTCCTCCTCCTCCTCCTCCTTTGCTTCATATGGCTCATCCACATTAGTGTCCCCTTCAATATGATGAAGTGGATCATCTCTATGCTTCTTCATTGCCTCAAGCCTAGCAATTATATCCTCATCTGCTAGTAAATCAGTGTCACTGTCACTATCAGTGAAATCTTCAGCCATTAGCTCTGGAAGTTTTCTTTTAACTGCCTTGTATTCCTCTTTTTCTTTCCCCTTTTTCCTGAACTTCTCAATCTCTTCATTCCTCTTCTGCTCCATCAGATGCTCAATTTGCTCTTGGTCTTGGTCTTGCTCCATGAAATATTCATGCCTCTCTTCACCAATCTCCATTGCAAATTCTGGTACTGGTGGACACTTCTACTTCAAAAATGAACTCTCATGTGTGTTAAACCTGCACTGGCACTGGTTGTGGCTTTGTTGGGCTAGGAAACAATAGTCCTGTTGTATCTATCTCATACACCACTAGCACACCAATTTCAGACAATGGAACCTGCTCTTCACAAACTGGTCCAATGTTCAAATCACTAGGTCTTGGAGCATCACTTCTGATGACTGTTATGTTCACCACCTTCTGACCTTTGATAACTAGGTCATCCAACATTTCCTCCACCTTATCATCATCTGTCAGTTCTTCCATACCTGAAACCCCAACACCTGGATCTCTAACATAATACATAAAGTCTGTCATCCCATATCCTTCAAGCTCTATTAGTGCAATCAAATTGTAAAATGTTATATCATCCACATTTAGGCTTCTTTCAAGATTATCTCTGTCATGGAAATGGAATCTGACTTCCCACACTTCATCATTCAATCTACAGTTAAAGTAAACAATTCAGTTAAAGTAAACAATTTAGTTAAAGTAAACAATTCAGTTAAAAGTTATAAATTCAGTTATATATTCAGTTAGAGTAAAAATTTCAGTTAAAGTTTCACTTAAAGATTCAATTAAAGTTTCAGAATTATAGTTTCAGTTCAAAATACAGTTATAGTTTTAGTTAAAAATACAGTTAAAGTAAACTGTTAACTTCACAATTCAGTAAAAGATTCAGTTAGAGTAAACTATTCAGTTAAAGTTTCACTTAAAGTTTTACTTATAAATTCAGTTATAGATTTAGTAACATTTTTCATTTAAAAATAGAGTTGTAAATTAAGTAAAACATTCAGTTAACATTGAGTGAGTTGAAATTGAGTTTAACATTCAGTAATTTCAGTTAAAGTTTAGGTGCCTACTACATACACTTAGAACCCTAGAACTACATAAACACTTCACTTACATGTCTGACCACATAAACAACCTACATCAATAATCCTATAACCCTAGAACTACAAACACTTAGAACCCTAACCCTAGAAGCCAAATCAGGGTAGGGAAGGAGAAAACTTACGAGACACCGCCGAAGGAGGATGCGTAGTGATGGCTCTCCTCTGGATCTTCCTTGACGGCCTTGGCGAACGCCCTCGCCGCCGTGTATTCAACACGGTAAGACGGTGGCGGCGGCTGTGGAAGAGGCGGGGCCTGAGATGGGTTTGAACTGCCGCAAACCTCTGTTGGATCTGCAGGACCACCACTGCCACCGGATGCATCGCCAGCACCACCGCCACTGCCATCGTCACCGCCACGCGAGGTGGCCATCATCGGCGGCGAGCAGGGCCGAGAGAGGACAAGGGCGCGGGGCGAGAGAGAGGACAGGGGCGCGCAGGGGGGGGGGGACTGACTGACCAAGACCGACCAGCGCGGCGTCTTGACCGTTTTGGTCCTAACGGCGTCGTTTGCCTGTCCGTCGTGCCACGTCAACGTTTTCGGGGCCCATCTGTCGGAAAAGAGATCAAACGAGGCTAAAGGCCCGATCAGTGCTTTTTGCAACGAGTTAACGGATTTTCCAGTGTTTTCTGCAACGGATTAACGACTTGGTGGTTTCCTGCAAACTTAGCCATAAATGTAATGGTTTCTTGCAATTGACTCGCTGCACCGGCGTGCGATCCAAGCTCACGACTGTGGACCTCGTGAACGCGGTAGCTACGGCCGGGCCATCCCGTTCAATTCTCACTCCATCTAGCATGAACTAACTTGTGATCTGGGTGTGCGTGCAGGGGTACGGGAACGCGAGGAGCCTGCAAGGTGGCTACTCTTGCCTTCCTCCAAAGCGCAGTAGCGGATCAGCAGCCTGCAGCTGAGCAGCAGTAAGATTGAGCATGGCCGATGAAGCGAGCGAACGAGCAAAGAATACTACTCGTGCATGGTCAAGTGGAATAAGTTTGGGATCGCCCAGAACCTTTTTACATGTGTTCACCATGTTTTCTTTTTCGGACTCTTCACCAATGTTCTTGATGATGTAAAGATACGGGAGTCGTGTGAGCGTGAATGGGAATCTGTCACCATCTCAAGGGGCCAGGGTGCATGGGGGCATAAATGTATGCGGATTTGCGCTCGAGGATGTTTTTCGCTTTGTGTACCGTCGGTTGTTGTCTCGCTTGTTTTCGTTCAGCTTTTGGCCTGAACTTATTTATTCCTTCAGTCTTGACTCTAAAAATTGAGAGTTCTATCTAGTGGGATTGTTTCTTTAGGACGTTTTATTTTAGACAAAATACACCTCTAATGATTTTCACCATCTTGTTAATCTCTGATTAGCAGGATTTGTAAAAACAACAATAGGAAACACACAGGAATGTTCTGACATTTCATCTTCGGTCCCACAAGATTAGTATGAGCCTTTGATTGTGAATAAGAAAAACATAGGATTTTTCACATGAGGTTGGAGTTGGACTAGATGAATTTTTTTATACAAAAACTAGTAAAGATAAATTGATGAACAATTCTTATGGATTACAATCCTCCGGATCAAACAACCCACGTAGAAAAGAATCCTCGGTAATTTCTTTAGAATTCCTTCAATCAATGAAGTGGGCTCGCACCCCGCAAAAAGAAGTGGGCTTGCAAATTCTATCCTGACAGATTTGGCTCATTGAGAAATCTGAGCCCAATCCGGCCCATTTGACCGACAGCAGCTGGCTACGGCCCATATACCACATTCGAGCTCCAAAAAAAAAAAGGTGCATTCCCATCGGTCGCGCCGCCTCCTCCGTCCACTCCGGCGGCCGCATCGCCTTCCGCTTCCGTGTTCATCTCCCAGCTCCCCACTCCCGCACAGGACAGGAAGCAGCCATTCTCGTGTTCATCTCCCAGCTCCCCACTCCCGCGCAGCACGGAAGCTCGCAAACCCTAGCGAATCTCCCGTTCCGCGGTTACTCGGCGCGCGCCGGAGCCCGGAATTGAACAGCAATTAATCTCTGGAAGCTTACGAACCGGCGGCTGGTGGCCGGTGTAGCGCATATGTTTAGACAATCTACGAATCGGAGGTAATCTGGCAAATATTTGTTTTTTGTATATTTTTGTATAGTTGATTGAAGATGGAGCAATTTGATCAGTCAACTTTGTCAGTAGTTTTTTTTTGGAGCACCAATTTGTTATATCAGCAGCCATCTAGTTGGTAGCTAGGTCGCCATCTTTGTATTCCGATTTAATTGTGCATTTGGTAAACATCTTAACAGGGCAGCCAGCTAAAAAGTGACAACATACAACTTTGAAAGATTCAACTAATATATTAGTGCGACGCAATTGAGGTGGATACAAAGATGTCACAACTAAGGCATAATTACCTCTATCTTCTGCATACTAGACCATATTACCGAAAAAGGCTTTCGCCCCGCTTTATATTATAAAGCAAATGCCCAAGCCAACAATCCACATAGGTTCAAACACCCACACACCCACACAAAGGTCTCAAACACACAGGGTCCAAAAGGGTTAATGCTGAGGGCACAGCTCAACAAGCCCTGAGAACAGAAATAAAACAACACACACGGGGTGCATCTAGACCATATTACAGTTGAACTTGACTTAGCCAAAATATCTGGATAGTACTAACTGGTCATATAGCACCCCTACCCCAAAGAAAAGACCAAATGCAATCGCAAAGATGACCTTTATGATGTATTCTCTTGCGAGATGATGTACACAGGGGCTTCTTCAACCGAACTGCAATCCCTAATAAGCAGAGAGCCACACAGCTTCGGGTTCCCGTCAAAACTAGAAGTCGGAAACGTGCTCAGCTGGCTTGTTGTTGGAATAGGTCCTCCTAGGTCGTTGTTAGAAATGTTGAAGTGCAAAAGGAAGTGAAGGTTCTCCAGTGCGGCAGGGATTGCACCAGTGAGATGGTTATTAGACAAATCTAGCCCTTGCAGGTTTGTCAGGTTGCAGATTGATTGTGGAATCTCTCCATAAAGGCTGTTGAAACTCAAGTTCAGGTAAAGCAGCGTCCAATCTCTTGGGGGATTGCACCGGTGAGTTTATTCTTACCAAGTCTCAGCACTTTGGGCCAAGCACTGCTCATGCGGTACTGAAGTGATGGGCCCACATAAAAAATTGGTAGATCAAGGAGGTTTGAGTCCAAATAGATGGCAGCCTTGTCTGATTTTAGCATTGGCGTCTCCATCAGGGTGATTGGGATTTTCCCAGTAAGGCTGTTGTTTGATATGTCCAGCAGGAAGAGGTGATTTAGGGAGTTGATCCAGCTTGGCATCGGTCCAGTGAGTCGATTACTGGCTAATAGTAGTATCTTCAGATTTGTGAGCTTTGATAACCAAGTAGGTATCCTTCCAGTCAACGAACACCAGTCCGTCGCAAGTAGTTGAAGATTCTGAAAACCGTCAATGGTTTCATCTTGTGGCATGGCCTCATTCATGAAGTTTGCGCCAATAACCAGGGCGCTGATGCTCCTGCAGCTCTTAAAGGGCATGCAAAGCTTTTGTGATATTTGTGAAGGAGTTTCTACTAAGTGATAGGAAGGACAGGTGCTTCAGATTGCCTATTTTTGATGAGATTTCACCACGGAAATGGTTGTCCGACAGCTGCAGTGCTGTCAAATTGCTGCATGAGTAAATGCTTTCTGGAACCATACCACTGAGATTATTCCTCATGAGATCTAAACTTTTCAGATTCTGTAGGATGGCGAAGTTTACCTTCCCTAGATCTCCGATGAAGTTGTTGAACTTTAGATCAATGATTCTGAGATTTGTACAGTTGCCCAGAGTTGATGGCAGCTCCCCAGACATGTTATTGCTACCCAAATGGAGCTCCTCCAGCCTCTTGAGCAGACCTATCAACAGCGGAATCTTGCCACTGAAGTGATTCCCTCCAAGGTCAAGAGTAGCTAGATTATTGAGTTTGACTATATGTGCTCCATCAAGTTTTCCTTGTAAAGCATTGTTGGGGAAGGAGAGGTACTCCAGCAAGGTAGCGTGGAAGGTTTCAACAGGGAGAATCCCACTTAGGTTGTTGTTGCCAGCCTTGAGCACTTTGAGCTTGGAACAATTACCCAGCGTGTTTGGTATGTCACCACTCAATTGGTTGTAACATAGGTCAAGCAATGCCAAATATGGCGACCCAAGGCAGGGAGAAGACGGTATGTTCCCAGTGAAGCTGTTATTGCTGGCGTTGAGTGCGATTAGACTGTCCATCACCTTCCATGTGGCTGATGGAAATTGTGAGCTGAACAGGTTGCTTGAGATGTTGAGTACCTGCAGAGGCCGGTTGGTGGTAACCAACGACGGAAGCTTGGGCAGCGGTCCGTTGAGCCGGCTGAAGCTGACATCGAGGACGATGATGCTTCCAGAGAACATGAGCTCCGCTGGAAGACCACCGGAGAATGAGTTGTGCGAGAGGTTAACACGCAGCAGGCTGGTGAGGTTGGCGAGGAACGGTGAGATGGGCCCCTCAAGTCCTTTAGACTCCAGGGAGACCCCAGTGACGGCCCAATCTCCATTGCAGGAGATGCCTTCCCATTCGCAGCAGTCTGTGCCGCTGTTACGCCAGGACGTGGTGAGGCCACCATCACGCGACAGCCCGGCAAGGAACTGGAGGAGGTTGTCCTTCTCCTGCTCGGTGCATGGGGTGGCGGGAGAGGCTAAGAAGAGCAGCATGAATAGCTGCAGCATGACCGGAAGAACGGTGAATGAGGACATTGGTTAGTGTTTCTTCCCCGCCTTCTTGTTTTTGCTGTTGCTTGAAGAATGCATGTAGTGCTGGTACTAGCTATCATCTAGCAGTGGATTTATTTGCACATCAGAGCGACTGAACACCCTTCTTAAGATTCCATAGTTCTTGTCATGGGTGCACCTCAGTGCCCGGGGCCACGATCGGTCGGTGCACAGAAACACAGTGACACTTGCATAGGAAAGCAACATCCGTACCTACCCATTATAGCTATAATAAAACCCTATAAACTAGTTTATAAAGCTATCACTTAGTTATGGATGGATTAATAGCTAGCTATTAGTCAAAAAAATTGAAGTAGCAAGAAATCATTCTATTATCTCACTGCCCCAAGTTTCAAGTTTAAGTGTAAATGCCTGAAGAGAGTAAAGTTAATTACTAGTTTAGTCAGTCATCTTGCATGACCTATTCATTGCATTGCTGCTCAAGAGCGCATAGATTTGTCCAGGGCCCAGGGGGTGGTGGTCTCCTCTACAGACTTACTACCACATGTTTATGGCATGAGCTAGTGAAGGCCCAGGGGGTATGAACCTAGTTTTTGGACCAGGGGGTATGAACCTAAATTTGTCCCAGGTGGTACCAACCTAAATTTGAAAACGTGATTCATGTTTATATGGGAGATATGCTGCTCGATAATTATTATGTGAGGTCATTTTCCGCCAGCTGTATGAATTAATACCCATCATTTCAGTTTGAAAACTGCTTTATGGTTGTGTTTTTTCTCATGCTTCGTGTTAGTTCCCCAGAAATCTTATTTACTCATTTCCTTGGGAGAGGTCCTGGAACAAAAGCAGAATCAAAGGCACATATGCATCATCCATCAATGTATATATTTCAGATGCACAAAGAGTGCCCATGGATTATTCATTTGCTTCATGCACTGCCAACCTCTCTTGGTAGCTAATTCTTTTCAGGCAGCTAATTTTGACTTAGATGCAGTTTGCAGCAATATTGTTGTAATGTTTTTCCATTATTATTTCTGAATGTAGACAACTTTTTGTTGCGAAAGCTGCCCCTCTTCATTGTTTTGGTTGATTTGTGCCCATATTTGCCCTACCAGCCAAAATTTCAGCAAGGGATGGCGAGACACACCCTTCAAGTCCTCTAAATGCTAGGGAGACTTAAGTGACAGCCCTGTCTTCATTGCAGGCAATACCTTCCCACTCGCAGCAGGCCGTGCTGTTGTCATGCCACGACATGGCGAGGCCGCCATCTCACGACAGCCCAGAAAGGAAACGGAGGAGGTTGCGCTTCTCCTGCTCAGTGCATGCGGTGGCGGGAGAGGCCAAGAAGAGCAGCAGGAACAGCTGCAGCATGACCGAAGGAACAGTGAATGAATGCATTGGTTGCTATTGGTTGAAGAATGCATGCAGTGGTGGTAGTTATCATCTAGTAATGGATTTTTTTGCACATCAGACCTACTGAACACTACTCATAAGATTCCCTATATGTCCTGGGTGCACCTTAGGGCCCTGGGCCACGGTTGGTCCATACGGAAAAGACAACGACACTAGCATAGGAAAGCAACATCTGTGCCTATCAATTAGCTGTAGTAAAAGGCTATAAACTAGTTTATAAATCTATCATTTAGTTATGGATGGATTAAATAGTTACCGATTAGTCCAAAATTTTCAAGTAGCAAGAAGCCAATCTATCATCTCGCTGCCCCAAGGTTCATGTTTAAGTGTAATATAGTTGAAGAACATATTGGAAGGTTAATTACTAGTTTGCTCATCTTTCCCGGCCTATTCATGGCACTGCTGCTCAATAATACATAGATATAGGTGGTGGTCTTTGGTTACAGACTTACAACACTAGTTTTGTTTACCTCAAGTGACAGGCTGGCATTTGGTAGGCAGGCCCAAAGGGGGTACCAACCTACTAATGGTTGTGTTTTTCCCATGGTTCATGTCTATGGTGGATATTCTGCTCATAATTATTATGTGGGGTCATTTCCCACTAGCTCTTTGACTCTTTGTAGCTGATGAATACATATCCATGATTTCAGTTTGAAAAATTGCTTAATGGTTCTGTTTTCTGACTTTTTGTAGCTAATGAATAAATATCCATGATTTCAGCTCGGAACACTGCTTCATGGTTGTGTTTTTCTCATGCTTCCTGTCAGTTCCTCAGAAATCATATTAATGTCATTTCCTTTGGGAGAAGTCCTGGAACAAAAGCAGAATTAAAGGTACATACTCCCTCCATTCCTTTATGTAAGGTGTATTGTTTCGTGCGCGGTGACCAAGTCAACAAATTATAGATAACTTAGGACAAAACTACCCTTTGCAAATTTGATGGTTAGTGGTAAGTAAATCAGTAAGGCTAGGAAAGAAAGACATACATGCAATCAGGGGAGAGATACTTTCCTTATTTTTCTAGAAAGAGAGATATGTGCGATTGGGAGAGATATACTTGCCTTCCTAGAAAAATGGGATTATGAGGAATTAGAAATACAACTTACATTGTGAAATTTTCTCAAAAAACAAATACACCTTATAAAAAGGAACGGAGGGAGTATCACATATGCATCATCCATCAATGTAATATTTCAGACGCACATGGACTATTCCCCTGTTCTTTTCGTGGCAAAGAAGCTTCGAGCTTCAGCTTCCTATTTCTGTTTTTTCTCTTGTTATTTTCATTTTCTTTTTTGGCTAGAAAAGTAGCATGTAGATGTCTTCCTATCCTACTTTCACTACTCAGCAGCTCGAGTTCACCTGTTAAACAATTGCTCTTGATTAATTCTATTTCATTACATTGAAATTACATTTCATTTTTTTTGCTTTGCTTCATGCACTGTCAAACTCTCATGCCAGGTAATTCTTTTCTGGCGACCACTTTGGCCTCAAATGCAGTCTGCAGAAGAATATTGTTGCCATGTTTCTCCATGTTGATTTCTGAACATAGACGGTTTTGTTGCCAAAGCTTCTCCTCTTCATATTTATGTTCGATTATACTCCCTCCGTCCCAAAATTCTTGTCTTAGATTTGTCTAGATACGGATGTATCTAACACTAAAATGTAACTAGATACATCCGTATTTAGACAAATCTAAGACAACAAATTTGGGACGGAGGGAGTACATGCATGTGCCAACACAAATTCTTCTTGACAAATGGCACTTTGTCTGTTATATTTCACATTGCCGTGTCTTTCCCATGGATATGAACTCTTCGCTTTTTTTTACCATGGAACTGAAGTATTTTTTTCCTGCTTGCGGGATCGCCATCCTATTTTTGCGTGCCTTTTAATGTGCAAACTATGTAAACAGTTCCTCTTTTAAAACTAGCGTAGGTCAGAAGGTCTGTTTAGTTTGTGCCTTCGTCCTATCAAAAGTTTGCTAGCCAGAATTTCGGTTGAGGTTTTACTTGCCAACCGATTGGCCAACATTGACTAGAGAATGCAATAGAGCTGGTTCCCATCCAACAAAGACCAACGTGTTGATCATGGCAAAAAAATAAAAAAATCTAGTGTACACTTTGGTCGTAACCCAATGTTCCAAACATACCTTAAAACTAGCTAGAACACACCATTTAGTTTTTAAAGTTGTTTAATCTACCCTTCTTGACCTAAACAGGGTGGTTTTTGATGGTGCGCTATAGCTGGGGTAGCAAGCCGGATGATGGGCCGACCTCGAGGGCTAGCGGGTTGCGAGGGTTATGCAGGCCTCCGATCGACACGGGGAGCCCTCCTGAGGAAAGTCTGGTGTCTTGGCACATAATCAAAGGATTCTACCAAGGAGCCCCCTAGGTTGGTTTAGGACTCGTGTAACTCTAGGCGTCGTCCTCCTTTATAAGGCAAAACCAGGGGATAGCTCAGGCATCGACATCGTTATCATTGTCTCAGTATGTACAAACACCCTATACTTGTAACCCCCTCATGTGAGCATTTTCCACCATCGATTAAATTAAAGCACGAGTAGGATGTTACATCACGGGTTCAAGTCCTGGAAACAGCCTCTTACAGAAATGTAGGGAAAGGCTGCGTACTATAGACCCAAAGTGGTCGGACCCTTCCCCGACCCTGCGCAAGCGGGAGCTACATGCACCGGGCTGCCCTTTTTTTTAGGATGTTACCTCAACAATGAGGGCCTGAACCTGGGTAAACTCCTCGTGTGCGATCCCCTCTGGTAGTCTGGTACTTCCAGCCACACTCTCCACCCTATCAGGGTTACTGATTGTTTTTTGGTATCGTTAGTTGGCACGCCAGGTAGGGGCTGCATCGTCCAGAGACCGAATGCAGATTAGATCTCTGCTCATGCCTGGAATTTTCATGCCGAAACTGGCGACAAAAGAACAGAATCCACAGCCTCCTGGTGGATGAGGTCTCGATCTCTGACCCTGCGGCATGGCGGCCGCGGCCTACACGCACTGTGATACCCTGCTTGGCTATGAGACGCTTCGTGAGTGTGGCCTCGACTTCTCCACGCTAATCACGCCCACCAACCTCGACGATCTTGATGCCCCATTCGACGCTAAGGAAATTTGGCAGGCGGTGAAATGCCTTCCCGCACGGAAAGCCCTCGGCCCCGATGGCTTCACCGCCGAATTCTTGCGCGCGTGCTAGCCCATCGAACGACAAGATTTCGTCGACGTCTTCTGGCAGCTTTACGAGCTCCGTGGTCGGGGCTTTAGCTGCCTCAACGAGGCGCTCCTCACCTTCCTCCCGAAGCACGCTGACGCCCGTGGCCTCGATGACTTTAGGCCCAAAAGCCTAATTCACCTTGTCACCAAAATCTTCGCCAAGGTCCTGTCACTGCGTCTCGCGCCGAAGCTCAACGCCCTCGTCAGCATGAGCCAGAATGCATTCATACCTGAATGCAGCCTGCACGACAAATTTGTTCTCGTGCGCCAGTCCACGCGCTTCCTACACCAGCTAGACGTCCCTCGCGTCCTCTTGAAGTTGGACCTGGTCCACGCCTTCGACACCATCAGCTGGTCGTTCCTCTTCGACGTCCTTCGCCAGTG